AAATATCATGCTTTGAAAATTCATTTGATAACATAATCATTAGTTTCCAAAGTAAGGTTTACTAAAATTATATGAATCTCATTCATTAATTGCCTTACAAATATTTTCCAAGGGGCTCGTATACACTTAGGAGAAAGAGAAGCATATAGGTTTTCATAACTTATGCATAATGGTCTTAGGTCGCCAACCTTTTCATAACATATAGAGCGCGTCCGCCTTAACATAAGACACGCACGTGCCTAGCATATGATCATAGCTTCTTATCATAATGGCATCAAATGCTGATCATGCTCATCATACAAAATAAAATCAAATCTCGCATCAAATTCACACCAAGTATATTAGAGCCCAAAACCTTATTTTAATTCTTAAAGTATAGCACCTCTTATAAAACTTGTTTTATTCTTTAGTCTTCTTAAATTCATAATGTAAGCTTACTTTAGAACGTAAGTAACTCATGAAAACTTCATACTTAACCATAATTCCTTAACATAGAAAATTTCGTATCATATGAAATCATACATGTAAGCTTACTTTAAAACTTAAGTGACTCATGAAAAATTCATACTTAAACATAACTACTTAATATTGGAAATTTCTCATAAATTCCTTTTCTTAAGCTTACTCTTTAGAACTTAAGTGGACTTATCGAAAACTTCATACTTAACAATAATTACTTAATATAGGAAATTTTCTTCTAAAATTCCTTTTTCTTTTAAAACTATTCTTTAAAGCTCATAATGAAATTTTATCATAAGAAATTTCTATCATATAAAATCACTTACTTTCCTTAATTCAACAATTCAAAGCACATTACACCTCAAACATACCCATTTTTTAAAAACTCTATAAACATTATGAAGTTATCAAATAACTAACTTAATCACATATATATCTTATATATATATATATATATTATATAGCATAACATAAAAAATATTTAAGTAAGCCTTACCATCTGAGTGGTTTGGCCTCAGTGGTTTGGCCTCTTAATGAAAACCAAGGGAAGGAATTTTCTTCTCCAACCAAGCATACTAACTTTAAACTTAAGTAATTCATGAAAATTCTCTTACTTAAACATAATTACTTAACATAGGAAATTTTCAGCATTAAAGTAACCTTGACCCTTGCTGTGTTTTTAAGACAAAACTTGAATTATAGGTCTCCAAATTAAATGAAATTTGATTCATTAGAAAGATAAGACAAAATGATACAAATGTTATGAAGGGACCATAGCCCAGATCAATCTGTAACATGATAAACAAAATCTAGGAACATAGACCAACAGTCCAGACCTGATTTAGCAAAACCAAGTCCAATGTTTATGAAATTCCTACTTATCCAAACACTCTAATCAAACCAATATAAAACCAAGGAAGTCTTAAAATACAGGGAAACAACTTTCATGTAGAACTCAAAACATAATCTTGCCATTATAGTGGTCAAAATGGGCACTCAATTCAAAGATGCATGTGGCCCAGCATAACATAGTTAGTTTGGGTGTTTCAGCGGATGTTTCAGCCATAAGTTGAGCTATGTGTATCCAAATTGAACACAAGAGCATGGGTTGGAAAGCTAAGAAATAAACCTACAACTTTTGTGAAGGGCTTAGACACAAATGGAAAATAAAAAGGGTAAAAAAATAGTCCTTGATCACACCCAATAACGCCTTTTCCCAATTTCATCTTACTTAAATCTATACAAGGTAGAGATTTCTACCACATACTAAATACTCATCAAACATCATCTTAAGAGCATAAACTAACAAAGAATAACAAGAAAACTTAAGGCCTTTTTTATCAATAGGTTCTGCCACTCTTGGAAGATGAAGAAGAAAATGTTTTCCTCCTCAATTCAACATATAGTCATGCTTAAAAATCTCCCAAGAACACATTTATACATTTATACAACCAAGGTTCAACAAACAAATCATTTCACCAATTTTCACATCCAACTTAGATAGCTCACCTTGTACTAACGAAAGAAAATCCTCAAATAAACTCAAAATCCAAACCAAAAGGCATAGAAAAATGCTATGAGAATGAAAGGATCCAAACTCCCTAATTAATTCTATAAATCAAACTCAAAATCACAAAATCTACTTACTTGAACTTTAGCTAAAACTCAAAAATTCTTCAAATCCTTAAGCTCCAATACAATAAATAACCTTGAATCTTTAAGAGGAAGGTCTTGGATTGAGTTCATATGGTCTAGTTAGAGTGATTTCTTGTGAGAAATTGAAAACAATAAGGAAGGGAATGAGAGAATATGGTTCAGCCAAGGAAGAGAAGAAAGAAAGAAAGAAAGTCACGTTGAAGAGAAGAAGAAGAAGAGAAAATGGTTGCTCAAATAATTGAGCAACAAGGGTATTTTAGACTTTTCTCAACATTGGATGGCTATGATTAAGTCATTAGTAATCTCATCCAATGGCTAAAAATTATTCTCAATTAATTTCCTTCAAAATATTATTTATCTCCATAAAAGTCTCAAATTTAATCTTTAAAAATAATTCCTCTAACTTCCTTAATTAATATAACACCATCTCAAATTTACTCCATAAAAGCAATTCCTCTAATTTCCTTAATTAATATAACACCATAATTCACTATTTACTAATTATCTAAATTAATATAACACCATAATTCACTATTCACTAATTATCTAAATTCTCCAAAAATATTCATTACTTGCTTTCTACCCATAAAAATCATATATGCATACACTAAAAATTTAAATAAAATATGACACATTGATAGTAATTTTTCCGGACCAAAATAATACTTATTCCCAGATCGATGACACTATTTACAAACCGGTAACTTACTATTTCAGACACAGAAAAATGCGGCATTATAGCTATGAACTGACGTTTAATGGTATAGCCATCTTGACTTGTGCCCCCACCGTAGTGACGTGGAACGGATATGTGAATGGGAATAACAATTATACTCCGTCAGGAGTTTTGATCAATAACGTATGATCTGACGAATAAAGTAGAGAATTAAAACTCTCAAGAAATTTGTTGATATGAATATTAATCAAAGGTAATCTATCTGCCAATAATACAAAATAACCTATTTATAGGTTTAGGCTAAAAAGTTATAAAACCCTAAAAATAACACAAAATTCGTAAGTAAACTAAACCCTAGTGAGGGAGGCGGCATGGGCGTGCTGAACCTAGCACGGGTGTGCCGTAGATTCTTAGAGGCTAACATGGGGCATGCTTGGCATGACATGGGCATGCCGGAACTTGATTCTTCATAGTCTCATCAGCACGGGCGTGCTTGACATGGCACGGGCATGCTAGGACTTCCAAAGGCTAGCACGGGCAGGCTAGTTGTGGCACGGGCATGCCTGTGTTTCTTGGTCTTATGCTTGTCACGTCCTGGATTTCCAGAGTCTGGCACGGGCGTGCTGGGTATAGCACGACCATGCTCCTTCTTCTTGGATTTGCAACGATATAAGTCTTCCATATACTTAAGTGCCAGTTGCTCTGCATCAATCCCCTCCACTTCAATAGAACTCTACCTCGAGTGATCATCATCAGAGTAGAAAGGGAATAAATCAACAACATTGAAGGTCCTAGAAATCTTCATGTCTTCAGGAAGGTCAAGTGCATAGACATTATCATCAATCTTCCTGAGTATCTAAAATGGGCCAATCTTTTTCGAGTCAAGCTTCTTCTGTCCTCCGCCACGCTCCTTGAGAAGATAAACCATAACCCAATCATCAACAGTAAAAGATTTATAATGCCGGTGTTTATAAGCTGCACTTTATATTTTTCATTGGCAGCAATGATGAATTGTTACACTTGCTTGAATACCTCCACGTACCCGGTAGCCAAGTTATTAGCTGCAATACTCTTTTCTACACCTATTGGAAGGGAAAGAAGATCAAGGATATAGGCTGGTACCTTCCGGTAGACAATTACAAATGGACACATCTTGGTGGAGTTATGGATCGCACTGTTATACGCAAATTCTGCTTAGGCAAGAGCAAGATCCCACATCTTCTTCTTCTCACTGCAAATGCACCTAAGAAGATTACCAAAAGTCTGGTTCACCACTTTAGTTTGTCCATTAGTTTGGGGGTGAGCGGTGCTGCTATAGTGAAGTTGAGTGTTGAATCTCTTCCACAAAGTTGTCCAAAAGTGAGCTAGAAACTTTGTGTCTCGGTCAGATGTGATGGTTTTGGGAATCCTATGCAAACGAACAATCTCCTGGAAAGATAATTTTGCTATATGTGAGGCATCATTAGTTTGCATCATTAGTTTGCTTGCAAGGGATAAAATGTGCCATCTTGGAGAACCTGTCTACAATGACAAAAATAGAGTCAGCTCCGCGTTGAGTTCGAGGTAAACTCAACACAAAATCCATGGATAAGTCCTCCCAAGGTTGTTCCAGTACAGTCAATGGAGTGTAAAGACCAATGTTTTGAGAATGGCCCTTTTGTGTCTGGCAAACGGAACATTTTTGTACTAGTTTTCCTGCTTCCTTCTTCAACTATGGCCAATAGAAACGAGCTTCCAAACCCGCAATAGTTTTATCACGGCCCAGATGTCCACTCAATCCTCCACCATGGACTTCTGTGATTAATATTTCCCTGAGGGAAGACCGAGTGATGCATAGCCTATTTTCAATAAAAAGGTACCTGCCATGAACTAAGAAATCGTCGGTAGGCTATTTAGCTTCAATCTTAGCCCAAATGTCAGCAAAGTCTTGATCTGAGATATAAAGATCTTTAAGAAATTCAAACCCCACAATCTCTTGCTTAATTGTGATCAATAAAGCTGCTCTCCTACTCAAAGCATCCGCAACCGTGTTACAAGTACCTGATTTGTGCTTGATGACATAATGAAAAGCATCAAAATAAGTTGCCCAACGTGCATGCATCTGCATCTTGTCACTTTCTTTGAGTTTAAAAATGAGTTTAAAGTTTGATGATTTAGTGCAAAATAAATGAACTCCGGCCCTAAATAAATAGTGTTTCCCAAGTTGTCTTTAAAAGGCTTGAAAAACTGCATACAACTCTTGTTCCATAAGTAGACCATTTCTTGCCTCTTGTTCATAAGTAGACCATTTCTGCCTAGCTTCATTCAACTTCTCACTAAAAAATGCAATAGGCTTTCTAGATTGAGACAAAACACCACCAATTCCAATACTACAAGCATCACAATCAACCTCAAATAATTTATCAAAATCAGGTAAAGCAAGAGTAGGGGCAGAAGTAAGCTTATCTTTGATTTCTTCAAAGCTCTTATTTACAGCTTCAGTCCACACAAACTGTCGAACTCTCTTCTTCTTCAAGCAATCTGTGATGGGAGCGACGATGCTACTAAAGTTCTTGATGAACCGCCTATAGAAAGTAACAAGACAATGAAAGCTATGAATTTCAGTGATATTCTTGGGAATAAGCCAATTTGGAATGGCCTCAATCTTTTTGTCATCAACATGAATTCCTTCCAAGCTAACAATATAGCCAAGGAATAGAATCCGCTTCGTTATAAAGTTGCACTTCTTAAGGTTGATGTACAATTCATTTTTCTGCAAAGCATCCAACACCACTCGAAGGTGCTGAAGGTGTTCTTCCTTACTGCAACTGAAAATGAAGATGTCAACAAAGTAAACAACCACAAATTTGCATAAGAAAGGATGCAAAACTTGAGTCATAAGTCGCATCAATGTGCTCGGTGCATTAGTCAACCCAAATGGCATAACCAACCACTCATATAATCCTTCCTTAGTCTTGAATGCAGTTTTCCATTCATCTCCCTTGTCACACCCCGACTCTAATCACCAGAGGAATTGTCCACTTTGGTGTAGTCCACGGACGCCCTACACCGCAGTGTAGTCCCCGCACGCCCTACACCTCTGTCCCGCAGGTGAAATGGAAACTTCCCAGGAGGTCACCTATCCTGAGATTTCTTAAGCGGGCATGCTTAACCTTGGAGTTCTTCCTACTATCTATGAATACTCAAATTTTGAGGCTCAAAAAGCCTGTTTTTCTGGACTTGCAAACAGTCCGGCACGGACCGGATGACGTTCGAAAAGTTCACCGAAAGATGCCAATATGGTACTTGAACGTCCGAAAAATTGCGAATTACGAGGATCGCAGAACTGGTCCCGAAATATTTTTTGGAGGTCGGGAACTCCTGAAAAAGCCTCTGGAACGAAAAGACTAGCCAGTCCGCTAGCAAAGGCGGCTCCGGCCAAGGCGGCACCGGCCGCCAGACTCGGCGGCTCCGGCAGCCGGGAAGGGCGGCGCCGGTCGCCGGGCCCGGCGGCGCCGATACTCCGTTTTTACTCACTCAGTCTGTGTTGACGGACGCTCCTTCTCCCTTACGCTCCTTGCGATTCTTTTACTGCGTTTCTGCATTTTAGTGTAGGCTTTTTATTACTCTGCTGTTGTGATACTTGGCCACTTAAATTAAATTAAATTAATTAATATTCCCCAAACGAGTTCAAGCTGAAGCTAAGAATGGCCGCCGATTAAAACTCAGGTAATAACGAACCCTGCCTATTAATTTCAGGGCATTTCATGCCCCCCCATTAAATTTCTTTTCTTTTTCTTTTTACCTTTTTCCTAATTCTACAACCGCATTCACACCATCATCATCATCTTGGCAAAATAAAGCCTTAGTGAATAAGTTTAGGCTAAGATGCCCGGTTAATCAATAATGTGGTATTCATGCCAAACTTCCGAAACATACTGGCTAAAAAAGCCTAGTTAATTAATAACTATGGTACAATCGCCTTTATTTCGAACAAGTTCGGGCTAAAGTCCAATAATCAATTAATTGTGGCTAAAAAGCCTTAATCAATCACGGTCTTTTTTTTGGCAAACAAATTGCGTACAGTTTTAATCAATTCAACATTTGGCAATAATTGCCTAAATTTAAACATCAGTTTTGGCCAAATGCCTTGAATTAAATCGGAAGCTTTTGGCAAATTGCCTAAATCAATCATTTTTTTGCGACAATCGCCCAATTCAACACTTTTGGCAAACGAATTGCCTAAATCAACCCATTTTGGCTAAAAGCCTTCAATAATCACTTTTTGGCAAACAAATTTTGCCTAAATCACATCAACTTTCGGCAACAAGCCTAAATCAATCTTTTTGGGCTTAAAAGCCTTTAAATCAACCACTTTTGCAACAAATGCTAAAACAACAAAATCAATCAAACTTTGGCCAAAATGCCTAAACAAAATGCATGAAGCATTACACACACTTTCATGCATTAAGCATACCCACACTCATGCATTAAGCATACCATTCCAAAAGCCTTTAAAAAAGGCCTATCGAACTCGTTTGAACTTTTGATCTTCATCAACGGAAGTACTTTAGCACGTTTGGATTTAACCCCGAGCGGCAAGTCGGTAATCACTAAACATTCCATTGGTCCCATTACCTTGCCAAAGCATTCATTCATTGGTTAGGTTTAATCAGCATGACATAAGTCTCGGGATCCCACCTCGGGTTCGTAGATTGTGCCTTAAACATGGGATAATTAATTCTAGTAATAGGTTATTAAAATTGGAGAAATGGAGTCACTCAGGGTTTTTTCCTAGTTTACCCTAAAAATAATTAAACAAGGTGGCGACTCACACATTCACGTGCATTTCTGCACTTAGTCATATTCATTATATGTCAATATTTGGGGGAGGGGTTCACCAGCCATTCCACCAAAAGGCGCCTCTAATGATTAGTTTCCCCCTTTTCGATATATGATTCGATTCATTCCTGTGTCCTGCATTCCACTACCCTACCTAGCCTGCCATCCTAGGATCGCTTTGCCGGGTCAGGATGTCACATCCCTCCTTGATCCTGATTTGATAATACCCGCTGCGAAGATCTATTTTGGAGAACACTATAGATCCTGACAGTTGGTCCAATATGTCCTCCAGATGAGGAATAAAGAATCGATACTTGTTGACGCGTGTCTTTATGCCCCCACCTAACCTGATGAGGATACGAGGACGTGGAATGAGGGGTCATGGATATCCGGAAGTCTTTAAACCCAAGGATTTGATTTAAACCAATTTAAATGTGCCTGGAGTGCAAAAGAGTTGCGTCACGCGGCTGTTAGGTGCGTGACGGCACCGTCGGCTGCGTCACGCAGCTCCAATTAAGATGACATCACAGTGAAAGCCGACATAACGGTTTTTTATTCTGTTTGGGTACGTGGCAACGGTCCAGAAAGTGAGAAATTCTAATTGCTAAAATAACCTTGTGATGAGGTGTCGTTAATTTGCTTCTTATTTCATTCCTACCTCTATAAATACATCGTTTTATCTCTTAAACGGGACAAGAATTTTTAGGCATAAAAATACGCACCTTGCAGCTAGGTTTTCTGCAAGAAAACTCTTCTGGAGTTCCCTTGAAGAAAAACAGCCATTTAGATTATCAATAAGTTAAAAAACGAAATTTAGAAAAAAAAAAAAAGAAGAGAAGAAAAGAAAAAAGGTTGAGCGTTGAAATCCTTTGTGGACTAAAAAGCTTCTTGGGGATTCTGGGACCCTGAAATTTCATTCTTTAAGACGTTCAGATTGTTTACAATCCTCAGTCTGAGGGTTAGGTAATTCTCCTAAACTTTTCTTTGTCTTTATAATGGTTAATTCATTGTTATTTATTTTATCGTTACTTTAGTGTTATTTATTTTATCGTTACTTTAGTAGTTCAATCTTAGTTAAACAGTATTCTGCTCACTCTTGGGTGTTTTTAGACTTTATTAAAGCATGTTTAAGTGAAAAAAAAAACGTAAAAAGGGTTGTTTGAAAAGTAATCACGGACCAGAGTAGCTGCGTCACGCAGCCAGTAGTTTCGTAATGGACCTGGCAGTTGCATGACGGAACTGTTCATGACCAAAATATAGTTTCTTTACCCAGAATAATCGCGTCACGCGGCTATTAGATCCGTAACGGATTTAGTGGTTGCGTGACGGAACTGTTCGTATTTATAATTTTATTTTGTTTTTTGTTAATATTATCTTTTTAATTATGGATCCAAAATATATGTTTGACAAATCCGGAGTTTTCCAAATTATGAACAGCTGCGTCACGCAGCTATCGGATTCATCACGCAGCTGTTCTTCCATAGAACAGCTGCGTGACGCGACTGTTTTAGGGTTCCATGAACGATTTTTTATTCTTTTAAAAATAATAATTTCGTACAATTAAATAAATATTTAATTCTTTTAATAAGTCAAGAGACAACATTGTGGGCAGATTGCGTTTAAATCAAGTTTAGTATATTAATATATAATTATGCATGAATTTTGGGCTTTTTAGGGTTTCTTGGGATTCCAAATTGGGTAGAATGTATTTTGGTTCGGTTGTGGCCCGCCTTTAACCATTAAAGCAAGAGCGGGTCTTTTGTTTATCTTGACTTAACTGGCTTTGGTTGGAATGGTTTTGAATTGATTATGTGAATGCAATGATTGAGATTTGATTGGGACGATTAATTAATTTTCCACATAGGAACTCCGTTCGATTTAATCGGGTTGGGGTTTAATTAAATAAATTGGCTTTTCTAAAATTAAAATAAATTAGAGATTGTAGGTTAAAAGAGATCAATTTTTCCGGGCGTCGGCTTCCAACGGGCCGACGTTCCCAATTCCCTTATCCAGAATCGTACTTGGTACGCTTAACCAGTCTTTTAAATATTTTGGCCTTAAATAAAAAATGGTAAAATAATTTGGCCTTAAAATAAAATTGGATTTAAAATGGAGTCATTTTTATTAAAAACGGTCCCATTGCCTAAATAATGGGTGGTGACTCAAAATTGTTTATAAGTCCGATTTATCGGCATCGCATCCAAACAAAAATATTTTATCCAAAAATCACAAAAAGGATGTTTTCAGGTCCTCCGGGAGGATTTCGGCGAAAACAGATTAGCGACTTCACTAGGGATGCAACCACTAGTCCCCGATTATTTTTAATTAGATGGTTGTGATTAGGAATTAACTCTAAAAAATTATGTTTTCTAAAAAATAAAATTGGTTAGGGAAAAATTCTTTAAATCGTCCGTATTGTTTATTCTTTACTTCTCTAAAGTTCTTCATTCATAATGCATTTTCTCTTTCTCACTACTTTCTACCTATTATTATCCTCGGTATCATTGTTAGTTCGGAGGTGGATCCAGCCTAAACCTCGCGTTTTTAGCACATCCATCCGCAGAATTAACAATTTTACCAACCGCAAGCCTGTTACCTTTAAAAGGTGCGTCAAAAGGAGTAGGCCCATGTAAAAAGCCGAATCCTGTTTGCGGAACCTGGACTTTTGTAAGCCTTAATAGACTAAAGCCCATGTGCATAAAAGCCTTGTTACTTCCCTAAGGAACAACCTGTTTCTATTTGCTGTTGTTATTGCCCATTCATTTCCGAGAGATTATATCGTCAATCTCAAAACCCCCTGCTGGTTGTCGAGATTAGACCAAATCCTTAGGAAATAGATGTCGAATTTATTACCAATGGGAACCCATGTGTGGAGAGATAAGGTTGGAAGGCATGGCATTTCCCAACTCCCATTTCCCTGTATGTTATAAACTTTGGCTCATCTGCTGTGACATTTCATTGCACCACGTAATACTTTTCGCTTCAGCCTGTGCATTTAAGAGCTAATTTTTGGTATGGACGTTTGACCTTGATTTTGAGACTGGACCTCAAATTCGT